ATTTGGGTTCCAGGGAACTGAGTACAGTCAGAAACTGTAGGTGGCTCATAATTGATACTTGTTGCAACTGGAAAATTCATGTTCTTATTTGTGATTCATAATCCTCTCATTTAAAGAAAGTATCGTCATTCTTGTAAAGATGAGTCAGTGGCTTTCTATCCTGTCGGTCTGTGTACTTATCTCCTCTTTCCATATTGGTAGTTGTACTGTGGGGGAAACCCCTGATTATATTAATTACAATATGAATCTAAGGGTGTTCCCACTAGGCAGCCATTCCACTTGCCTGACTTTTGATGATTACAGTCATGCTAGTAGTGCGTATAGGCACATAATATTATGCATCATACATAATTTACAGACATGGAGATTGAGGTAAGTGATCTTGATAATTTCACTGTATAGTATAAAACTAATGACTTAGAATTAGAATTCAAGTTCCTGGAGCTAATTCATTTACCTAACAGAAAAACCTAGTCAAATTGTCATTGCTTAATTATTTTAAGCAAAAATAACAAGGAGCTAGGATATGTAGGAAAACCATCCAAATATCGTGGGTACGGTGAGCCCACAAGACTATACAGCAGAAGCAGAGGTGACAAACCTGTAGACAAATCCATAGGAATGTGATCCGCTGGAGAACCTGTACTGCAGAGCTTCAGGAACGCTTGTTTGCGGATAGTCACTGTCAATTCTGTGAAAACCTTGTGAAGCCATGACTTTCCTCCCCTTCAAAATGGGATCCATTCTCCAAATATTCCAGCAGTATATAAATCATTTGTTAAAATAAATTCTACCTGTATGGGCAACTGCGTACCTTTGTCACGCCTTGAAGGCCTGGTGTGAAAGCATTCACTCACCCAAATCTTTGCTCTCATAGTCAAATCTACATAAGACTAGCTCCTCTCCTGCCAGCTATCCTATTGACAGGACTTCCACAAAGAAAGGAGACCTAGGAAGGAGGAACTGAGCAGAGGGACAGTACATCTGGGTGGCCCCTGAATTTTCTAGCAGCAGACTCAGGAAGGTGTAGTCTACTGGACTTTTGCTCTAACCTAACAAGCTACTAATATTCTGTATTTGTTCTTCACCTTGGTTTCAATTAACATAAGGTCATAGCCAGGGAAAGTAACTGTTTATGCCTTTAGATTCCTTTTAACCCAGAACAGCTAGACACTGATGCAAATCGAGCACCTTGTCTTCCTCCTAAGCCAACAAATCGCTATGGTTACCAATGCTGCTTCCCAATCACTGGTGAAGAAAGCAAGTGTTCAGAGTGCAACATCCCTGCTGTGTTTTTCTACAATTATTAATCATAAACTTCTAGTTACACTTAAAAAATGTGGTTAGTGCACAGAAACTTCTTAGAGTTTTTACTGATTCTTAACTAATCCTCCCAGTATCTGCAGGTGAGCTTCACAGCCACGTCCCCTTTGAAACCTTGTCAGATGCACAGGTTTCTGCAATTCTGTGAAATGCATGCTTCTTAGCTATCTGTATATAAACTGGAAATCGTGTGGGATGAGTAGAACAGCAAGAGAACAACAAGAAACATCGAGAGCGCATTGGAGAAGGCATAGAAAGAATAATGAGACAATGACAAAAAGGACTTCAGAGAATTTACTTACTCTCAGACCTAATCAGCCAGTGTTTGCCTGCTATAGTGAAACTTTCTGAACCCTGAGAGGTTTAGTGAGTTTATCCCCAACATAAACCTCTGTTCGTGGGGATTATGAATTTAGCTGGGTTGATTCATGTTTGTTACAAATCCTTAGATCACTCGCCCTTTCTGCTATTCTATATTTAATGCAGGATCCGCCATTCTGAAAGGTTAAGGCCCAGCTTGAGTCTCTCCATGGGAAACTATCCTGATATTTAAAAGCTGTTGTGTGGAGGTCAACCAAGATGGACCTTTCCTGTGCCGTTCCTGGTACCTACCGCATGATCCTTTCGTGCCTCCTGTGTAGCTCTGCATTCTGGTGAAGCACATTGATGCAGAGGGCTAAGTGGTATTCTGTGTCTGCCATCAGCTTTCAGAAAGCTGTCAGAAATATTCTAAAGATGTTCATATCTTTGAACGCCTCACTGAGCTCCCCTTCACTGGGGTTTCTTGGCATGGGAATGAATGGACATCGAGTGTGGAGTCATACATTCCTAGGTCTGAAACCTACTCCACCAATTTATGAATTCATACAAAATGCTCATTATCTCTAGGTGTCATATTTTTCATTTTTATAAGGAATTTAACAGTAGCATCTGTCATATAAGGCTGTGGTAATAAATGGAACAATGCCCATTAAATATTATAGCTCATTACCCAATGCCTTGAACCATCAGAAAGAAGTTTGTGGAGTTTGTATCTAAAATAATTAAATTTATGATATCAAAAGATATTTGTTTTTCATCTTCATTGCAGAAATATTCAGTATAGTTAAGATGTGTAATTAACCTGAATATTCATCAGTAGATTAATGAATTAAAATGAGGAACATATGTACAAAGAATGTTTCCAGCTTCAGGAGAGCAGAGAATCATGCAGTAAACAATAGTGTGAATTAATCTCAAAGATAACACACTAAATGAAATGAGAACTTAAAAGATATAGCACCATTTTATTTTTTAAATATTTATTGATTAGCTCATTCCCTTGTGTGTGCACAATGTGTGCTAGCAATGTGTGGCATTAAGGAACAGCTTGCTGGGGTTCTCTTGACCGTGTGAGACTCAGAGATTGAATTCAGAGTGCCAGTCTTAGTGGCAAGTACCTTTACCCACTGAGCCATCCTACTGACCCTAGAAATTCTTCTTAGATACTCAGTAAAGCTTATTTCTATCTGATTGGAAGGGATTACATTAACATATTTTTGAAATCAGAAAAACCTTGCATCATGAAAAATGTTAATGGTACTCTAGCTACAGAGTAATTTTGATTTGTCTTGTATGTTGCCAATCAATAAAATTATCATCTTTCTGAATTCTGAACCGAATAATTTTATTTCCCACTGATGATGTTGGCGTTTGTGTTTGGTGAGGTGTTGGCTGTGTTTATTTTTCTCGTTTAATTGTTCCACAGAGGTAGAGAACCGAAGCATGCTGTTTTTGCAACTCCTCTGATGAATGATCGCAGGATGGGAGAACTGGTTCTGTAGGTAACTTTACCTCTGCCCTTCATGCTCCAGGGATCGGATATGCGGGTCAAAAAGTAAAAGTGGCTTAACTATCCTGGTTCTGGAGTCTTTAAATGAAATGACCTTGAGAGATATATTATAGGCCTACTTTTTAGCAGATTCCCAATGTCTGACTTGTTCTATCCCCTCACATTTTACCCAGCTGAGCTGTCATTCATCTCCCTTCTTACTGTCACATCTTTTTCACACCATCCCCTAGCCTCAATTTTATTTTTATAACTTCCTAGGTTCCTTTTCTAACAACTCTTATGAATTGTCATATAGCATATGGCTTAGTGTATTTTTTTGGGCAATGTTCAGAAATATAGAGCATCATATTGAATCACTAAAAAAGTTTCACACTGACAAGCTGTGTAACTTATAAGATGTACATAAATTCTTAGAACAACACAAATTAACAAAATTGGAACATGTAGAATTGGAAATATAAAAGATTAATAAGAAGTAAAGATATCAGAGTAGGCTGGTAACTAAAACCTTCCAAGAAAGAAAAGCCCAGGACTCTCTGACTAGATCTATTTCTTATTTATTTAATTAATTTTACATTCTCCCTAATATAGTCCCTCTACATTTCCTAACATTTCTTTAAAAATTCACAGTAATAAAACGTTTGCAGAATTTCGAGGGTAGCCAAGTTTTAATACTGACTAGGAATTCCTCTGAGGTAATTAGATTTGGACAGCAAAAGCTCTTTGCTTTTTCTAAGGCCCCCCCCCCAAAAAAAGGAGCCAAGAAAAAGCAGGGCTTGAGAGCATCTAGGAACTGAACCAGGTACACCTAGGGACACCCACCAAATTACGATTTCACCCCACATGCATGTCTAAGTGTAGGCAGAAGAAATTACCCTTGGCTCTACTAACACTGGGAAGAAGCGCTGAGTCAACAGAGTTCTGAATTCTTCTCATCTTCTTGCTCAAATTTCCCATTGGACATTATGATTCATAATCATAACTCTCTTCTCCAGAGAGTTTATTCCTATTTTCTTACCTTTGGTATGTGTGTTTGTGAACCCTCAAGAACAGTGAGGAATTGAATGTGCTGTTCTTTGCAGGGAATTCAATCATGATGCAAACAAGTCTGGAATATTTTTAAGACCTTTGGGAGAGTGAATAACATGAAAGCCCACTGAAGACTTCAGACAACAGATCAGCAGCAACACTGGTTTGCTTAGAGCTACAGAAGAAAGCCTTGTCCTAGCATATTGTCTCTCTACAAGTAAAATCAAGTTTTACAATATCCTTTATGTATAGTTTAACAAAAGAAACCAGTCTGGTATGGAAAATGTCCATTTATTAGTGTGTGCCTTTTGGTAACTGACAGGCAAAAGATTCTAAGAGATCACTACAAACAATTATCAACGAGTCAGAAAATCTGTAAAAGGAGGGCAAGTTCCTAGAAATCTGAGCTGAAACCAAGACTGAACAAAAAGAAAAAAAATAGTGATCACTTGTGAAATTCACTCATGAGAGAGAAAATGGTTACGAGTAGGCTTAATTTGCTGATAAACTTGAGAAAATGACTTGATATACCTTATAGTTTTTTCCTTTACCCAAGTGATCCAGTAAGTGATCCCCATTTGGGGGCTTTTGTTTTGTTGGGTGGAGAGTAAGAAACCTAGTCCTATATTCAAGAAACACTATATTCTTTAGTAAAACAGAAGCACCTGTAAACAGATAATCTTCATCAGTTGTTACTGGGATTGGAGTTTGTTAATTTTTTTAGGAGACTTTAGAGAAATTCTAATTTCTCCACAGAGAAACACATGCATGTGTACACTAACTACACACATGTTAGCCACAATACAGAAAATCCTAGGTGAAGATGAATATATGAAGATAGTTTAATGTTAATTATGATCAATGTTTGAAGAAGTTCACTTATCTGAAAGGAAGTAAGCAAAAATTTGTACTTCAGAAGGAATGCCTTAAATAAAAAAATTCTCTTCTAAGAACCATTACACTGATTTCCAGTGGACTTTGCCAGAGATCTTTATTACTTTTCTCATTTCCATTTATGTCCACATCATCTTGTACTCCATGTGGAAACAGTCTCGCCTGGTCTATTGGAACAAAGTCCAAAATCCTACTGAAAAAGTAGAAACAGTGAACGACCATTTCCCTTTGGTTAGTCTGACCAAAGTTGCCTGTGTCTCTTCCTTCTTTCAGTAATAGAGGAGACCTTCATAGTTTACAGGTGTCTTTGGGAATTCACATTCCTTGCACACTCAGTTATGCCATCATTACTAGTTAATTCTCAGTTAATCAGAGAAAAGCTCTTGCACGGCCACTACCCCCTCTAGAGATACCAATATGTGCACAACTCTCCATCATTCATAGTAAGCTTCCATCCAGAGTGCAGCAGATTTCTTTAAGGACCTAGAGGAGTAAACAAAATTGTCAGAAAATAAAACTCGATGCAAAGGAATTTCACTTGAAAATTTTTTGGGTGCTTTGCTTGTTTTAAGAAAATGTAGTTTCTAGCCACATTTGATAAGTGTCACTGTCTGTTCATCAGAGAAGGGCATCAAATGCATTGAATTCCTTTCAGCAGATGAGTTTGGCTTTCTTCCAGGGAAGTCTGAGCTTTGTTTTTATTTTATTATTTTCTATACCATATACTTAAATATCAACTTATACCATATTCACCTGCCTATCTATTTTATAAGAGAAGATGTATTTCTAGGATCTTCCTAGGTAATATCAAAGGACACAGAAACAAATAATTATCCATATACACTCTTGGCCTTAACTGAAAGATAAGCATTAAATAATTGTTTACTCAGCAAGCTCTTTAATCAAGGTTATGACAAAGACTGTGATAACGATAGATTTATTTGGTCTTGAGACCAGTGAAGGCTGGCATAAGAGAAAAATTGAAGTGAACCTTAGAGAGTGATAAGGAACTGAAAAGTAGTTTTGAAGCGTGTTGCAGACCAAAGAAACATGGCAAAGGGATGAGATACTAAGGCATAGGAAGTTTTGGGGCAACTGAAGGTAGACCAGATATCCGCATGACAAAGAGGAAGAAAGATGTGGAGAAACTGACAGAGGTAGATGAGATCAGATGCGACCATGATGGCCTTTACAATATCCCTCCAATATTTTTTTTTAAAAAAGGAACATTATTAAACTCAGGCCAGTGGTTGTAAATTTGTCCTGCAGGAAAATGCAGATATATGCACATGAATTTGCTGCTAGATTCACTAGGAATGACTGGCTACCCAGACTGATTCATGCCATTAAATCACTCTAGGTGGTAACAATTTCTCCAGTGAATCAAAAGATTTGATGGTAGTTCCTATCATGTTAAAGTCTAAAGCATGTCCAGAGATCTATACGGAATACAAAGACAAATCCTACATAACCATGATTTCAAGAAATTTGAACTATGTAGGACATGGGTATTTCTACTAAAAAATACCTAGAGTCTAGTAGCGAAGTAGTAGATATTTATATGTCATTATTATTATCAATACTGGTGTCTCTTAATGAATGAATGGTCATTGGATGAAAGATTCAAAAGTTTCTGAAAAGCTTGGAAGAAAGGGAAATTAGATCTATGAGCAAAGATAAATTATGTTATTACCTGACAATATCTCCAAATGCCTTCAATATGGGCTTATTTATATACTGCAATCCATGCTTGGCACACAGTGACTTTACCAGTGGTGCCACTTTATGATAATTATGGCGTGGCATTGTTGGGAAGAGGCTAAGAAAACAAACAGGAGATGTGAAACTTACACCTGAAGAGAAACACAAAGAAGTTTTATTTATTTCTAAATAAACTCTCACCAATAATGCAGAACCAACCTTGACCTTGTACAAGCTTTCTAGCAAGCCAGATTGCCTACTTGCCTAACTTTTATCTTTCAACATCTTTGTAAGTCATGTGTTTGGCAAGTATTTGGGAAGTGCTGAGAGAATAAATATTAACTCTATTTAATACGCTTAGTTTTGGTCAGGTCAAATGAGAATATGGATTAGCTAGCATTTTGAATTACCTAGGAGAGCAAAAGATTACATCTTTCCCATTCTTGACTCTCTTCTATTCTTCCTATGTAAAACCTGTTTGTTTAATCATCAAGTATTCATTCATTTAGGTCTAGCTGTGATATTTAAAAGTAAGTTGGTTCTGCCTCAAGCGATGTTACATACTTTGTCCTCTGAGGAGTGGATGGGGGTGGGGTGGAAGAAAGGTGGGGAAAGTGGGAGATGGGGAGGGAAAGGGAACTGGGATTGTTATGCAAAATAAGATTGTTTTAAAAATAGAAAAAATGGAATGCAAAAAAAGTTCTCTTATTGGAATTTGTGGCAAGAAGTTATGACTTTTATCTAAGGTTTGGCCCTAATTAGGCAGGTAATCTTTCTGGATCTGAACGCTTTCTTTAATAATACATGGATTGTGGTTCTCCTTTTCCTAGGGTGTTCAAGGATTGACTAAGAATAAAGAATGAGAAAACAGCATTGAGAGCAAAAGAGTTTCTTTCTCTGACTCCTAGATGCAGCTTCACAGAAGGAATCATGAGAAGTGTCTTGCTGCACATTCTGGGGAAAATCAGCTACCCAAGTATTACCACTTTCCCTTTCCCTACTGCATCTCCACTTAACTGACTGATTGGGAAAGTATCTGCAGATTCACCTGGGAATTGCAAAAGTGACTGGATTTCATTGATTATTATTTAATGATAGTTACATTCATATACTTAAATTTCAATAAAACGTGGTTACTCGGTGCTATACTTTTTCTTAGGTTTATTAGCAAATAAAATATGCATGGACGCATGCACTCCTCCATCCACAGACCTCTCTCCTTCCTGATCTATAGATGTCACCAGTTCTCAGTACTCATAATATATGGAAGCAAAGCTACTGGTCCATTTCTGTAATTCCACTTCGCTTTCCACAACCTTTACATTTCCCCTTCTTTCCTTCTCAAACCAATCACTGGCACTGATGGCCAGCAGTCTTTAGAGAACCTAGGTTAAGCTTTTTAATTCTCTGAGGCTCTTCACTGAACGGTTGCTGACTCTGCTATATTGGGTCAGCCCTTGCTCCACAATGGATAATATGTATCACTTACTGATGTTCAATTTGGAAGTTCAAGTGTCCAGTGAACCAATCATTGAAAAAGGACTGTTCAATATTACAGGTGGCCACAATCTGTAAAGAAATATCTTTCATTAGCTGTAAGTGAGCTCAAGTGTTAAAAATGCTACTTATTTCATGGAACCATCTATTAACCCAGGGTTGTTATTTGCTTATTTTTAGTAACTATGAGTGATACACAACAAAGTCCCACCCTTCATGAAGTTTACCATTTGAAACACACTAAAATATTTTGCTAAGAAGGAATATATATAATTGAAGGAGAAAATGTCACAGCTATTCCTTAGACACAGAAGGGTAAGAATTGAGATGAATTTTTTGTTGTTATTGTTGTTTGTTTTTTTAGAAATGTTGTGGAAAATATATGGTTAGGACTTGAGGTATTCTGAGTGAGATGAAATAATAAAATATACAGTAATATATACAATAATAATAATAAAGTCTACAATGAAACTACATGGTTAAAGTACCAGGTAGGAACATGTTTACAACTTGGAAATTTTTTAAAAGCCCTACTTTATAATATATCATCAAAAAAGTATTAATACTCACATAAATGAAAGGTCAAGGGTTCTGGAAAACAATTGACATAAGCAAGTATATAAATCTAACATGTATGTGGAAGCACCTAGTCTAGCTAATGACTAAAGAAATGAGTAAAAACTAGAAGATACAGAAGTAGTTCTTTGGCTGAACGCCCGAGAACCATTCTTCAACTGTAAGGGGTGAGGTTCTCTGAGTTTGTGTATGAGCCTGGAAAAAGCGAGATAATGACCAAATTCCCCATTACTGTAACAAAGCCAGTGGAAAAGACCATGAGTTAGGAGGCAGGAATGTTTTGGGTGAGCCATCACTTTGCTCAGCAGTAGCTGCATGTGTTGTGAGCACACCATGCTCCCTCTCTGAAATGTGCGGTCCATATAGAGAAATCATCATTTCTAGGTGTACAACTTCCTGGTGTTGTACACATTCCTGGTGTACAACTCATCCTATAATTTTGAGTCTTATATTTACTTGAAAGGCTTTGTTACATGAGTGATTAGAATAGGAAGTCAGCACACATTTTCTATAAATTCCCAGGTAATTAATCTTAGCTTTATATTTTTTAAACACCTGTTTCTTACTAAAATAGAATTATAGCGCTTTCCCCTTCCTTTTTCTTTTACAGTCCTTCCCAAATACCCTCCCCCAACTCCTTCCATGCCCCACTCTATTTTCAAAGTTATAGCCTTTTCCTTAGATTACTGTTGTTACATATATATGTCCATGTATGCACAAATATATGCATTATTGTTTGTGTATATATAGTTTCAGGCCTAGTCACGTTGTATTGAATAAGGGAGTAGTTTATAGCTTCAATGTAAATTTCTTCATTTTATCATTAGTAATTTTGTCATAACAAGGAAGTGACCATGAATAATATATAAATAGCTGAACATGATAATGCCTCAGTCAAACTTTATATGTACAAACAATCAGTGAGTCAGATTCGCCTGCTAGATATTGGTGACTGACTTGTACTTTGTACGCAAGATTCTATAATTAAACTGCCTAGATTTAAAAGCTGCTACAATCACTTATTAGTTGTGTGCCCACATACAAGTTACCAGCCTTTTTTTGCAAGTCAACTTTATCATTTTGTAAGGTGAAAATCATCATTATGTCCTCCTTCTGAGGTTAAATGCAAACCATTGCACAGTGCCTGTCCTCGGGGAAGTGCTTTATGAAGGCAAGTTATCATTATTATTTAAGGCAAGCAGATTCTAAGACCGTCTGGCTAGAAGGATTGTCCCTTGGGAATGCCATCATCACCTGAGTGCTGAGCCAGTCGTGGTTCTCATCTCGGCTTATTTTCATTGGTATATGACTCATCTGGGTAACATAGGCAATCCAGGGGCTCTCCATAAACCTTTGGAGGAATACAAAGTGGTCTTGGTGACTCCTTTGGTATGTTTTAGTTGAAATCACTGAGTTTGCATGACCTCTGACTGAAATGGCCAAACACTGGAGACAATGAAAGAGGTTCTAAGGTTCTAGCAGCTGTCCATTTCCTCTTTGAATGCCAATTCTCACTAGTGTTGACACACAAGTACTTGACAACATGCTTTGTTCCACTTCCTAACTCACGGGAGCACTGCCTGTGAACAGTCTACTCTTGCTTTGGTGCAAGGATGAAATATACCAGTGGCTGAGTGCTTGCCTGGCATGCGTTAAGCCCAGTTCAATTCCCAGTACAAGAAAAGAAAATTACCATGTTCTCTAAGGGCATTTGTAAAGTAATTGACAGCTTGCCATCAGATAGAGCTGGGTTCAAGTTCTGTCTTGGCACCTTTCTTGGCCCTTACTTGTTTTGCTACCTTAGGCAAGTGATTTAATCTCTCCAAGCTTCAGTTCCCTGAGCGGAAAGAAAGAAAGATGATACTATCTACATCAAGACTGTGTGTGGATTACATCAAACAAAGCGAAGACTGTCAAGCCTTTAACCAGCTGTCTGATGCACAGTTGCTCTCATTTTCCTTATAACTAGTAGGTGTTTAATGTAACAATGCAGCTGAATAAGAAAGAAACAAATTGGGAGTCTGGGAAGGGCTATGTATGCAAAATAGTGGTTTGAAGCCCTTTTGGTTTCATTTCTCGTCATGATAGAGCTTAAAATTTTTCTTGCTTCATGATGATTCTTGACGGAGTTTATGGTATCAAACCACTTAAGCTACAATGGCCTCAGGGAACAACTGGCATGGCTTAGTTGGGAATCTAAGAAAGAAGGGGAGATTCAACCGGGACAAGGAGCTTGTGTTGTTCAATCCTTTAAACTACCGCCTTTCAGCTAGCTTTCAAACTTCTCATGGTAGTGGGCCATGCTGTTATCATATTTTACTAACTACAAATGTTTCTGGTAAAAAAAAATGCAAGGTTATAGAAATAAAAAAAATATTCTTACTTGACCAAATATATGAGCAACACCGTTCCAAAAATTCCATAGAAAGGGCCAAATGTGATGAAATACCGAATGTAAAAGCTGCTGACCCAAGCAATGTCCTGTGGAGATAAGCATTTCAGTGAGAAGTCTTAAACATGGTTTCAGATCCCGTTCTTTGGATACTTTCTCAATCAGATGTCCTGTTACTTGAGTAAGCTACACCTGGAGAAGCCTCGGCACTTTCAACTCATTTTCTAGCTGGTCTAGGTTTCGAAGATGGGATAAGTAACTCACCGCCCAGTACTTTCGAAGGTACATCACTTGCATGGATTGGAGATTGAAGTAGACAGGCATGAGGAGGGGAAGAGCAACTGAAAGAGATCAGAAAGAAATTCGATCGATAAATGAGCAATGTGAACTCTGGTGCAAGTCAGTAGGCATTTGTCTACTCTACATACCCTTCCTAGAGTGTTGGCTTTGGGAAGGGTTGATACCCAGAACCACATTCTGGACTCCACTGGGCTTTTACATGTTAGGGACGGGGGGTGGGGGAGGAGGGGGAATAATTTGGCCAACAATTTCAGGTGCAAGTTTCCTGAAGTAACTAATGAAATTGTGTAGGTGAGAGTCATTCTGATAGACACTTCCCCAATCTTCTGTTGTGATCTTTCAAGGTTTTCTTAGGTTCTGGAGTCTTTTAGGCCCTCTAAGTCCTCAGAGATTGATTCTGTCACAATACTTCAGTATGCCAGGAATGAAGTCCGTGTACTCATTTTCTGCACAGAGAGATATCTACCTGATTTTCTCATCACAACAGTAAGGCTTCCAAGAGCACAAAGCAATCTCTGAGAGACTCTTAGACTTTGGACCAATACCTTCTCCCTGATCAAACTTTAGCTAGCTTCCTTCGAGCTTCATTCTCAACTAGATCTCAAGCTTGATAGATGAGGATTAGCAATTGTCAGCACAATGTCACGCATACCCACTGTAGCAGCTCAAAGCCAGGACACTCAGATTCCTTAAAGTTCCCACTTGGGGAAACCAAATGCTGCCAGGACAATTTACTTTGTCCCATCTCCCCTGATAAGAGGAACCTGGCATCATTTTCCGTAGAGAGTTATTTAGACTATGTCTAACTGCAAATCATTTCTCTCTTCCTTTGAGATTTATTTGCTGTAACTCAAGGAGCAGGGGGACTTCCTTTTGAAATATTATAAACAAAGCCCCTTTTCCCAGTGGGAACAAAGCCCAGCACCAGTTGCAGAGATGGTCTAACTTTATCACACTCCTTTCCACCTCCCACTCAGTATTTTTCAATACTTTTCTTTAGTATTTGGAAAAGTTTCCCTCCTCACCATTTGTTTCTGCAGAGTTTAGCTCAATTGGTACTGAAGCTCCTCTCTCCTTTCACATTAGTCTGAATAAAATTTTCCCAGTCATCTTTAACAAGTGCATGGCCATGTTTCTGTGTGACAATTGGAGTCTGACTTATTTGTATATAAGAGGCTCAGCTGGCATTTCAAAGAGAAGCGGCACCAAGAAACCGTGGAGGGTTTGTGGCATAGGCATCCTGGAGGGAATTTATACTCTGTACTCATTGTTTATAAGCTAAGAGGATATTTAACAGTTACAGAAATGTGATGTAAAGACATAATACTTAGCAAAGTTCAGAGAATAAATGTTTTTTTTTTGTGAAACTACATATCCACTTAGTCTGGTGTCAGCTACGATATGGAATTTGGCATAAAAAGGGTGCAATGATGGGTACAGGGTGGAGACACCAAATCCCAGTGTGGAAGAGAGATGCAGCATGGGTAGCCCTTCTTGACAAATAATTCATCTAGTGGCCATCTTCCATAGGCATGTTACAAGTGACCATTAGTTCTCTATGTGGGCAAATAGACCACTGTGAGGGTTTCTCAGTCTCAGAAATATTGAATTATATGGATGAGCAATCATTTATTATGATGGACTTTTCCTGTGCATCATAGGACTTTTGAAATTATCCCCCTTCACCTCCATACTGAGAAGCAAGAATGTCTCTAGACCTTGTTCCAATGTCCCCTGAGAGAACATGTCCTCAGAAGACAACCTGTGGTATTCAGGTGGTATTTGCTTCCTTCCCTGATGTTAGTGTGTTTCTAGATGTGCAAGTATGTTTTAGATTGATGGACTTTGGAGTTACTTGAAAACTTGTTCATGAGTCACCAGGAGTTTGATTTTGTTTAATAAGAATATTAATATTGCTATCAGAATTAGTAAACTAAATGGTTTTGCTTTCAAGCTTGGCATTATAGTGTAAGATGTCTTTTTTTCTCTGTCATCTGTCTGTCTGTCTACCTACCTTCCTACCTACCTACCTACCTACATCTATCTATCTATCTATCTACCCACTTACCTATCATCTAAGTGTCTGATTTACATGCATATGTCACAGGTGCTTGCTGATCTCAATAGCTATAAGCTTTCTTGCATGTAGAAACTTTCTCGACGCTCTTTATTTTGGGGTCTGTTTTTCTTGGTACTGCACCACAATTTTTTCAGTGTTGTTTTCCCACCTACTTTTTTTCATTACAAAAGGTTATTTTTCTTTTATTTCAGTGTTGTTAAAATTTTCTCATACAAGGGTGTTGACTCCCTATTTAGCATTCTGACCCTCTTTAAGTATGTCTTTTATTTCTTGCCTAATACCTAGTATGACGAGGCACCTGTAGAAATGCCTGTGTACTTTTCTATTTTCACTTCATACTTTCCCACCAGTGAGTCTGAAATAAGATCTGTTTATTTTCTCATGAACAAATCAGATACGGGTTGGTTTCTGTGAGACAGTTCCAATCATGCCTTCAGCGTGGCTCGTGCTAACAAGAAAGGTGGCTGCAGGAGACTCACCCATGTAGAAGTACAGGTGCTGCTTCTCATAGTCAATGTACTTGATTTTCTTCTTGCCATACTGTAAGTGCAGAGAATAAAAGAAAAAGTCATTATTCTCTAGCACATGTGTGTGTGTGTGTGTGTGTGTGTGTGTGAGAGAGAGAGAGAGAGAGAGAGAGAGAGAGAGAGAAGAAGAAGAAGAAGAAGAAGGAGGAGGAGGAGGAGGAGGAGGAGGCGGAGGAGGAAGAGGAGGAGGAGGAGGACGCAGACACAGAGAGGAAGAGAGAGACATAAATGGAGAGGAAGAAGGGATGAGAGAGGGGGAGGTGTGAATTCAGGGCTCACTGCCTATCAAACTTGATACACTAGAAGAACCAGAGCAGGCTTGGGAGTAAATAGTCTGCTTTAACTGAGGGTAATTCTATCATTTTAAAATAATTCTCATCTAAATAAAAATTAAAGTTTTTTGTGTTATTTAAAACATTTTGAAATTCATTCTCTTCACAGGCAATGTTAACTTCAAAATAAACATTTCTGTGGAGTTTTCTTTCTTTTTTTTTTTTTTTACACTCTTCTTAACTGTAGTGCTTAGACTTTGGCCTGAATTTCTGGCTCTGTCTCTACTGTCCCCATCTAATGGAAGTTCAGTAAGGGGCTTTGTGATAAAAGGGATATTCAGGCTCCCTCCCGGTTCTCTCCTCTCTTTTCTTTTATATTCTTATCATGAGTTTCAATTAACTTACTATACTGAAACATCATGATAGTGTATATAATATTTTTATAAACATTATATACAGTTTCTCATCATGTGTAACTATATGATTCCACTCAGAAATTAGAATCTGATTCATTTCCTGGGTTTCTTGATAAACCTGATCTGTGCTCAGGATGCAAAGGTAGCAATTACTTTGAGGCATAGGATTAATGATTGTTTATCTATAGTATCTAGCTGACATTCATTAAGGAATTAAATGGTTGAATGTTAATTCATACACACTCTTTGTTTCCCTCTGGTAAGTAAGTCACAACATTAGAGGACATGTTGGACTCATTTTACTTAGTTGTCCCTTGCCATTCTATGTATAGATATCTTCGTTTATATAGATAATGCATCTAGCACCTGCTTTTATTACCATAAATATAAAGAAATATCATGGTAATGAAATACTAATATCTATTTGTGGTTGCTCCCAAGTTTCCAAAAACTTAAATAGTGAGAAACACTGGAAAAGGGTGAGATGGAATATGCCTGAGACTTAATAAACCTAAACGGAGTAGTTGAGTACCACCCTGAAGAAAGATGTTAAGTCTTTCTGGACAGTCAAAGTGGGCTAAGAAAGTCCTGTTTGAATAACGGGTTAGGATTTGAAAAGCTTTCAGGAAGGCTATATGATAGGAAAAACTCATGACTCAGATATCACTGCTGTGGAAATAAATTATTGAGTTTCAGAGGTGGAGTAACTGCAGTTCATGCTTTAGGCTGTAGCGTCTAGACCTTGAACAAACGTTCTGTGAGTGGGCACACAGGCAGCTTTCAGAATCTATAGAGATGGTTTCCATATTTGTGAAGTGGCAGCATTTACACTAAGCACAGCTCTCTAGAAGGTGATTTGGAGGGAGTCAAGTTACTTCCTTACCTAGAAACAAACCTACTGTGCTCCAGGGAGGTATTTCAGAGACACAAACACATCACAATTCTAGTGTGGAGCTTGGAAGTCCACAAGCACCAGGGGAATTGAACAGTTTGTAGAGCCGTTGTCAAAAGCAAGTTGTTCGTAATAGTAGGTAACATCTTTGGCGCATACATAAGCAAGAACCTTTACGCTCTCCCTTATTTGGGGCAGGAGATAAGTTCTTCAATGATGGAAAAAAACAATTTTCTAAAAGTTACACTGTCTTTGTGTTCTGTGTTAAACAGGTTCAGGCAACAAACAACAAAGATTAAATCAAATTTCCTAACACTCTTAAGTTCTAGAAGATAGAGATCTGTGTGAAAATATGTGATTCTCGGGAGCGATCATTCTCCTAGACAAGGGGTAAACTTCAGTCAGGATGCCTCCTCTGTTTAAGGAACAATCTCTTTCCTATAAAACTCAGTAATTTAAATAGTCTTTTAGATAACAGACTCAAGTTGAGATTTTAAAGAAAAATCAATGACTGAAAAATTTAGCATATTACTTTAACACAGTTTCTGTTTAAAAGTCCAAATTATGGGTTGGATCTACAGCTGTCATATAAGTCATTGGGCAATGAGATTCATATAAATCAAACATACCAAAATGAATGTTAACTAAAAATAGCGACTCTTTTAACTAGACTAGAATGAGTTGAGTCAACCAGTTTTTCAGATATTTGCAGTCTAGTGCTAACCAAATGCACTGAGTTTATTTTCTCTCAGTGACCTCTCTTCATATCCTTGCTTTGAAAACTAATGCTGGTCCTTGTCATCTGATTCTACTCCCTGAGAATGGTTTATGTTGCTTCAGAGGTAGTGATAAGGACTAGAAGTGAACCTGTTACTGGGATGGCTCAAGCACGACGATACAAGTTATTATATCTTCTGCTGTGGGAGTCTGGACTGAGTGATGTTTATGGTCACAAATTCAGAACTCTTAAAATTCTTTTATACTTATTACTCTAGACTTTGCTATTCGGGTCTTTATCTGGACCTTAAAAGGGAAAGAGGCTTGGAGATCCTCTGTGAAATCGGAACAATCGAAATTGATCTTTCCATGAGAAGGATCACTTCCAGGAACATTTTTCGAAGACTGATGGTAACTAAATGCACCTTGACAGGCTGAGTATCTCCAATCAGGAAAAGTGGGCCCACATCAATGTCTGGATCCTTCGGGTAGATGTTTGGTTTCACATGATGCTGAAAGTGTCGATAATTCCACCAGTCAGCTGAGAGGCCCTGAGGAGAAGAGAGAATTCATTAACTAAAAGAATTTTTTCCCCAGACATCCCTCATTGTTGGAGTGTTCTGAATCTCCAAAGTGAAAATAAGAGATTGGTTTCTCTAGCTGACCCCGATCCTGGGCCACAGGATGATTAGACAAAGGTGCTCAGAACTAGGAAGAAATATTTTTCTAATTCAAGAACATGACTGCAGGCTAAGACGATCTCCTGAGAAGGGAAACATAATGTACTCATATGAAATGGTTTTCTAGCTTTCTTTCATAGGAGCCAAATCTAAAAAAAAAAAAAAAATGATTCTGAAGGTAGATGGAACAGAGAGTTGCATTCCTATTTTACATATAAAGGAGTCTCACAGTTAAGATTTCTAATTAGCTTTGGGGGAAAAAGTGACCCTAGGAATCTGACTTCAATGAATATTTCAAAGAGTCAAGAATCTGTGTTCTCTCTCCTTGGAGGCTTCTGTTCAGATCACTGCAAGTCCCAGCTTAATGCTCTTCTGTGAAAACAAACGAGAATAAAAGCTTTCTAGCTGGTGCCACGGTAGAATCATCTTTGATTATTCTGCTCATGATTTTCTTTCTCACTCTAAGTTTGAGAGTTTTGATAAAGCAAAAGATTTGAGGTCTCTCAATCTTCTTTCATATTTTAGCTGTTTAAAAGCTGATGTGTATGTTTTGGCAAATCATTCATCTTCTTTGAAGCTCAATTAATTCCATCTCAGCGTGATGACATTTAGTTTCATGGGTGGCCCAGAGAGATGTGAGACACTGAGGCGAAAGTGCTGGCTTTTTGAGAGACCCAGAGTCTTCTTATTTGTGCTGTTTATAGAAGAATGAGCAGCAGTAATATTTTTATTACCATATTTTCCATCTCTTAATAATCCATGTTTACATATTATAGATCATCTCTGTCTAATATAGAAGCTACTATTTGTGGCTAGATAAACTGAGTCTCAAGATTCATTTTGCAGCATCAGTATACAAAATAAAGGAAAAATATTTCACTAATTTTTAGGTTGGTCACAGATTTAAGTCATAATATTCTGGATATTATATTATAGATAAAATAGGCAGTTTAAATATGGCTATATAAAATTGAAGAAGTATGTCCTTTTTAAAGTTTTTCATTTTGAGGATTCATACAATACTGTGTCTATCTACATCATTCTCAACCCTCTGATTACTTTTGTGTATGCTACACTCCATCCCAAGGTCATGACCTCTTCTTTAATTGCTATTGTTACATATGCATATGTACATACATGTACCCATATACATTTATACACGCATATGCCTACATATACAACCATTGAGTCCATTTAGCCTTACTCATATGTACATGTGTCAAGTGCTAACTTCTTGGGTGTAGACTCAATGAGGAGTTAGTCTCTGGAGGAAAGAGATTCACCCTCTCTCAACAGCTGCTCATCATCTCTAGCTCTTGGTCTATAAGTAGGACTTTGTAGTAATGCCCATGTCCATGTTGGTGTGCTTGTTGCTGTTGTCATTATGCTAGTTTTGTTTAGGTAATCTTATTGTTGAAAGTCTGTGAAAGCATTTTTGCTGTTATGCCCAGGGGACATGATCTAACAGCAGGCATCTTGGTCTTACGATGTCATTTTAATATAGCTTATATATTATTCCTACCGGAGAAAGGTGGTTTGTAAACTACGCTCAAAGGTGATGAGTATGCTTTGAAAGCCTGTTGTTCCATCTTCTTTCTGGAAGTTCTACTCTGAGACATTGCAATTATCTACCCACTCACAAACAAAACGAATGGATGTGTGTTCCCTTTTCCTCCCAACACTTCCTAACACTTTAACAGTGGGATTTCAGACTCCACTTCACATCTGTTTCCTGACTGCCTGGGGAGTCACTTCCCAGATACCTTATGGTTGCTCACACTTTTGTCCCAACTTGTCCCAAGTTGTATTTATCACTTGCCTGTGGGTCTCATTACACTCAGTCCTATTCATGTCAAGCTACACAGTCCTTCCTTTTTCACTCAATGGTTAATCATCTTGAAGTATATCAGATTCTGAGCTAGGTAGGCACTTTATGATACTAAGAAAGACATGAAATAAGAGGTTCCCACACTAGCAATATACAATCTAATGGGAACTGTTGACAGCAAAATGCAGCATGATAAGGAATGGTTCTCTTTTTAAATTATCTCTTCCCACAGCTGATATTTTGGCTGCTTCCACCAGCTGACTACCCTTTTAGGCAATGACTACCTGTGGTAACTGGTAACATGGGAGACAGGTTTTGATGCACAGTAGATCTGGGAACAGATCTTAATAGCAAAAAGCCCTAGAGGTTAGAACAGTGGCCAACATAATGTTGGGTGTGAACTAAACAACCAGTTCTACCTGAACCCCATGTCTGGAAAACATTCTTACCAGAGACAAAGGGGAGTTCTTCATGGGCAGGAGAGGATGTTCAACCATGTGCCTGGCTACCTGAGACAGTTCTATGTGGGTCTTACTTAGGTCATTCCTTATTCCTAGATTATGTCCTTAATTTGGTGCAGGAGAAGGAATCTAGGCTTTAGACTGATGTCAATTGGAATTTAAATTCTTGTTTGGACATCTACTAGGTGTGTGACTTAGGAAATATCCTTAACCAGGAAATGGATGCAGCTCTTCCTCTTCCTGTCCACTATATGTTAAGAATACAGTCACAGATGTCAGATCTGGTCTTAAACCCTGAATAGTCTGCTCCATTATCTCTATAGTGATACAGGATTCTTACTATTTGTAAAATGTTCATATAGGGAGAACTTGAAAAAGATGTTACCTGATGTCTATCTCAGGGGTCAATAATATCTTTAATTTCATTAAAAAAAGACTCTTTGGGATATTTGTACGTATATAGTGTGAGATATGGAGATGAGAATTAAATCTAAATCTAAAACTCATTTGTTTTCCATATACCTTGTCCTGGAGATAAATTTATTTAGCATTTTAAAGAATTTTTTGGCATGAAATAAAGTTCCATAGTATGGAGTTTTCCATTCATGGTATAATTTTGATATTAAAAAATATTTAGATTTAGAAACATTTCATATTTAAATTTTAATTAAGAATTTTGGATCTGCAATACAGAAAATACAAAATATATGTAGACATTTCACATTTCATGGTTCATTTTCAGAAAGGGTATTTGACTATCTGTATACTATAAACATGACACACACACACACACACACACACACACACACACACACACTGGAACGATGCTGAATAATAACCCCAATGATACCCATGCTTTTCTGAGTTATAGGGGGAAAAGATATGAGGCCTAGTGTTGAAATTTAAAGTTGTAATGATCATAAGAGGCGGGGATGTTGCTGCATATAATTTTCTTTGTCATCTCCTTCCCGCCCACTTCAGCTCCCCACAAGCAATTTTCTCTTCCTTACATGTTGAAGCCTATGTTTGTTTTGCTCATGAATCACTGGCTTTGCCTGCTAAAAGGCAAAGTACGTTGGCTCTGCTTTTAGAGAAAACTTCCCATTTTCTCATTCAAGTCAGGAGTCATCAAAGATACATACATTTCAAACTATGAAAACTGCTTTTTAGAGACAGCACGGAAAGACCTATGTGTAAACTGGATTAGTGGGAAAACACTGGCTCTAGAAAGAGCCAGTAAGGGTAGGAACTCCCCGGAAAATTCCACATGGTTGGTACCAAACCAAATTCTAATTACCTTGAGGGCAAGTGGCTTTTAATTCCTCTGTCTCTTCAGCTTAGGGGAGGGGACACATGCAGCTCTACTACCTGGATCTCATAGTGACAGAAAAAACAAAGCCTATATTTTTATTTTGTGATATTTCAGAGTGAATCCAGAAAACGTATCTACTTAGCAAAGGTGGATATAGGTGCAGAAGAACATGACTCTAGAAATTTTCTGATTAAAAAAATCTTGTCATATAATGTGGCAATCGCTTTTTGAGGGACAGACAAGTCTCTAATGGGAATACAAGTTCAACTCTGTTGCTTAGTCTAACCGTGGCTCCACCAGCTGAATGAGAGACAGAGGCCAAGAACAGAAGACTTCTGTAAGGCAATGGCAGTCGGACATAGAGCCTACTTCTTAGCACTATCATGATCAAACCTTTTTCTTATTGATTCTAGATCCTCGTTCTGATTGTGAAAATATTGTTCCTTATATTATCAACAGCTGCCATGATTGTTTCTAATTACTATCACACCCGGTACCCAAATATCACATATAACCGGCAGTAATCCCACAGGTGGAAGCGTTTATCCATCTATCTTCATTTTCTTTTCAACCAAGAAACTGAAGTTCAAAATCATTAAATAACTTGTTCAAAGTGACCCAGTTCATGAGAGGATGACTTTCAATGGGAGAGGATTTATTGTTGGAATAGTAGTTCTCAGGGCTGGCTCTAGGTTAGAATTATTCACAAAACTTCCAAGGAGCTTCACCCGTGCTGACACCCAGGCCTTGCTGAAAATAAATTAAATCGTCTTTAGTAGTCTGGGCATACCTATGTTTACCAAGATCTTCAGTTTCCTCCCAATGATAGTTCAAATTGAGGAACTCCACTCTGGCCTGTATTATTTAGTAGTGTGGTATTAATTTCTCTAAATAGCCAGCTTACACACACTGGCTTAGATAGTCAACCCTCTTCAAGATTCATCTTATCTGAAAAATAGGGGTGCTGTAATATCAGTCTTGTGAGTTTTATGTGTAAGACTCAAAAATGAGACTCAAGAGAGACAGCTCTGCACTTGGCACTTGGCAGCTTTTATCTCCTTCAAGTTCAACCATTCCTTAGCATTTGTTATTCATGGCTGCGCATGACTCACTGCTCTCCAGGGGTTTGTCTTCAGCATCCTCTTCAGTTCTCTTCGCTCTGTTCATTAGTTGCCTATTTCCAGGCTGGGAAACCAGGTGAATATCGTTGAGGAGTAAGAGTTGCCTGTTTCCAGACTGGGAAACCAAGTGAATGTCTTTGAGAAGACAAAGAGACTGCGCGAAAGAAGAAAAAGCAAGCTGACTCAGCACCTGAGGACTTTCCCTGGGAGGTTCTATCTTGAAGGGATTGAAGGAAAGGATTTGTTTGAGATGGTTTTTGTTTGTTTGTTTGTTTGTTTGGGAAGGGGAGTACATATTTCTGAGTCAGAATACTTGATTTAAAATGTAGACATTTAGAGAAAAGCTGAGATTTAACTTATCTCCTGATGTTACAAAAGGTCAGAGACACACTTGATGGTCTTGGGATGGCATACTGAGCACTGCCAGAGACGGAAGCCCTTAGCAGTGCAGTCCTATGCTCTCCGTTCATCTGTGCTTTCACTCATTCATACAAGACTTAGTGAAGAGCTATGTAAACTTACTATTGCTGTGTAGGATAACACATTTCATTCTCAGAGAATAATGCCTGTTTTTATTATCAACTCGAGCAGAAGTCTTGCGGTCCTCCTCTTCAATAGAATCACCTAGCCTTTCTCAGTTACTCTTAGTTTTTGTATGTCTTCTGGGATAGCATTTTTCCTTTATGTACTCAGCCTCAACTTTTCAGAATTGATTAGATCTGATGGATTCCCCTAAGGAAAATCTTTACGTCCTTTTTAAGAAGATCTTCATTGTGATTTTCCAGAACATATCAAGATTTTAAGGATACAAGCATTCTTCTGTAAACATTCCTGAGGACAATGTGAATTGAGCCAAATAGTTTATCAGAGTCATAAAAAAATAAACACTATACACGTTCTTCTTAAAACTTAAATTTGATCTTGCTGTGTATTTTGCAATGTTATATTAAGTACAATGATTATAAAACCTGTCTTATGAAGATATTTTTACTTAATGCTTTTTGCTGCTTCAAGTACACACATAGGACAAAACAACCCGTGCCTTAGGCATTACATTCCCAATCTCCATCACACTCCCTCACATCCTGTACCTTGAGGTGACACATTACAAATTTGTGCATCAGGTGGTTCCACTTGGACTTCTTAAACATGGAATTGTGTCCTATGTCATGTTGTAAAAATGAACTTTGAGCCTATGAGAGAGAAGAAAGTTAGAGAATTTGAAAAGTCCCTTGTGCATATGGGCAGTGCTAACTGTACTCAGTGGGATAAAAATATCATTTAAAAAGGTGGACATGATGTTGGCAGGGAGATACAGGGAGTAGTGTCCTGAGTGGGCTATGAGGGGATGGTGAGCACTGAATATGATCAAAATATGTTGAGTGCATATATGATGTTTTCAAATGAAAAACAAAAGGATGAAAAAGCCCCAAGTGTCTGTCTGAGGCTGCTGCCCAAGCTTAGGACACCTGCTTACCTGAGAAACTGTAAGGAGAAAAGAAATGAGTATTGTAACAGTCCAGCCACTGCCGAAATGACGTAGTATTAGCCATGCCAAGACTTCCAAAACCAAGATCTGGGCAAGGTGGAGAAAGAAGAACCCCAGGTTGGCACTGAACATATTCATGGTCTCTAATGTTTTGCGCAGTTCCCGAAAATCTTCCACCAACTGTGGCTGTGAAACAAATATTCAAGGTTGGGATTAGTTCCTTCATGGGGCTGGGAAGATAAGTGGATGCGACATGTTAGCATTTACATTGGATTATGGAAAATTTAAAGCAATTCATTTCGAAGCAAAGAGTTAAAATTAGGAGAAATGATGCTTGTCTAACATTTTGTCCACATCTTAAATCTTCATTTCCAGGGACAACTTTCCAATAACAGATTTCTACTTCTGAGAAGTTAGGGGTTTAGGATGTGGAATTTTATGAGTGAGATCGTGCCCCTAATTTTTCTTACAAAGGTTCAAAGTTGGCCCGAGCGTCTTTATGTGCTCCAGAGTTCCAACCTGCATGACCATCTCTGACTGAAGCGTAGCAATCAACATGTTCATCCCTAGGGAAGGCGCTGTCATGTCACAAACTTAGCATTGAAAACTCTTTCTCCCTTATAGCAGGAGAAAGAGGAAGACCTGGAAGATGCGGAGGGACAGAGGAGAGGCAAACAGGAGGAAGATGGAAGAAGGAGTTTTTGAAGAACTCTGGAATGTGTAAAACCCTGTACAGTAGATTCCTTTACCCACAGAGAAAACACATCAAAATTATCAGTGTATGTTTGAAACCGAAGAGAGTCCCACCTCATAACCAGGATGACTAAAAAGATAAATGAGTAGGTGATCACACCTTGACTATACTGGATAAAGAGATGATTCATATCCTAGAAAGAACAAAGGAGGATGGTAAAATTTTGTCATAATTGAAGATGAATGTATCGGCTTTTTTAGAATTTTCCATGGGATGTTATGGAACTTTTGTTGCTCAATGAAACTATTGGAAGTGAACCTCTACTAAAGGAGACCAGCTGTGTGTTTTTTTTTCAGCAACATACACCATGTATCCATTTTACTGGTGAGAGTATTTTATCTAGATACCAAGAAACCTCTTCCAGGAGATGGATAGATAAATAAGAAGTATCACAGAACCTAGGTCCTGGGTTACACAATCACCAAACTGTGAAATTACAGAAGTAGCTTATGGTGCTTTATTTAGGCCATATTAGTTTAAATATATCCCCTAACCATTTGTGGATATCACATTCTTTTATACATGTGGATGTATTTGTGATTGATCAAACTTTAAAGGGACCCATTGTCAGCCCAAAATGCCTATAAACTTAGTCCAACAACCATCAAATTGGAATTCTTGTGACCATATGCAGTTTTAATTAACTTCTGATATTAATTTGTCTCTAGGGTTTCTCCTGGCCTTTTCTTTTCCCGTAAAATTATACAGAATAGAAGGTCACTGAAATTCAGAAGAGCAATTGCCTCAAAATAATTATCAAGCCAACGTCAGATGTTGGACTTAAGCCCACACCTTCTGACACTCAGTTTTGTCAGTTTTCTACAGTTGTAACTCCAGTAGCTACACAGATGTCCAACAGAAAATTCTGTCAACCTGAGTTATCAGAGAGAACAATAGTTTAAAAAATGGCCATCTCTCAGCTCTCAGAGGTTAGTTGAATTTGTTTTGCCTTTTTCAAACTCTTTAGGAGTAAAAATTAACTTTTGCTATTATTTTTAAACACAGGGTTGTCACCTACTACAAGCAGTGGGAACATGTATGGAGGTTTGTAAGTTCTGATACTACCACTGTGTTTATGATAATGATAATATCTTTATTGCAGAGAATTTACTATGTTTTAAATACAATTTCATTATCTTAGATATTTTCTTTTCAATTACAGTCCCAATAATTCAAAAAGGTAGTGGTAATATCACTATTTTACATTTAAAAAAGTAGGACACAGAGAAGTTTGAGAGTTTGAGATGAGCAGGTTAGGGTGAGCCTCAGAGTCCAGTCTTCTAGACAGAACTGTGCTATTGGGTGCACAGCGGTGTGGGATGCATGTGTACAAACTGGACCCAAGTATCACAGACATGGACAAAACAACTTCATCCCCTCAAACCAGTCTTGTCTAGCCAGTCCATATCCTCATTTTAAAAAGGAGTGAATAGAGCTTTTACTGTCAGCTTCATAATACTGTGTGGGTTAGTTCTCTGTATAGATGATTTCCAGTTACATACTGGACACATTTAAGTTCCTACAGAAATAAATTTCAAACAAGCTAATTGTTTTACGTTTTAGGAAAATAATCCCAGCAATGTTCTAGCCATGTAGAAGCATTAGAAGTCAGTATTTAAAACACTCAAACTAGTAAAAAAAGAATAACAATCATCTTGGGGAACAGTTAGGAAACTGGGCCAGAGAGAAGTGGTTTTGAGGTCCAGTTCTTTGATAAAGTAGCTGTGTTCGGAAAGCATTTTTTTTCTTTCTGAAGGATAATTGCCCTAAACATAAAAAGGGCCATGGTTAAGATTTATTTACATCTTTCATTCAGCTGCTAATTATAGAGGTCTTGCTGCATGTCTGATCCTGTGTAGGCAGTTTGAAGGATACAAGAATAAATGAGATGATAGTCTCTGTTACCATGCAGCTTAGGTTAGTTAGGCTTCAAACACATAATTAAAAGCAGCCACAGAAATAAAACCAGATCTAAGTTGCATGGCATGGTATTAATGTTTAGAGACATAGACCTTGTATAAGATTAAGTACTATAAATTCTATTGCTTTGCTATGATAATAAAATATGATCATATTTCATTACATACATGTTTGAAATTATAAAAACAAGTAGAAAATCTTCCAAGAAAAAAATATGATATTTGAGATATGCAGAGTCGACGTATTTAGAGATCAATAAAACAAGTGACAGCTCATGATGGAGGGGATGTGGAGTAAGGGGAACACTCTTCCATTGCTAGTGGGAGTGCAAACTTGGACATCTACTATGGAAATCGGGGTAGTGATTCTTCAGGAAGATGGGGGTCATCTGTTTCAAGATCCAACTATACCACTCTTGCAGGCATATACCCAAAGGATGCTTCATTTTACCACAGAGACACTTGGTCAACCATGCACATTGCTGCTCTATTCATAATATCCAGAAACTGGAAGCATCCTAGATGTCTCCCGAAAGAAGAATGGATAAAGAAAATGGGGTGCATTTACACAATGGAGTATTACTCAGCTACTTAAAATTAACATTATGAAATTTGCAAGCAAATGGATAGAACTAGAAAAAATTATCTTGAGGGAGTTAATCCAGATCAAGGAAGGTAAAAATGGTATATACTCACTTTGAAATGGATAGCAGTTAATGATAACCAAGCTAAAGCTACAATATAGAGTAAGGTATTAGAGGGAACAAATAGCTCTTGTTATAAAAGGGAATTATAATAGATAATTATGTATGAATGAGTGAGGAAGTGGGGTGAAATGGGGTTGAGGGAGGGAAGATGGGAAAAGACAGCTAGAACTGAGGAGCATTTGAGGGGCAGTATAGAAAACTAGTACAATAGAAATTTCCTAAAAGATTACCACATATGAAGATTATCTAAATGAAATTGTCAAATAATGGGGGAGAAGAAACCCCAAATGACCATCTCCTGTCACCAAATGAAGTTTCTAGTGTTAGGATTGGTTACATGTAATTGAGTTTTTGACCAACCAGGTCCTATGGGAATCTCCAGATAATTCAGGCTCTTGCCAAGACAATAGATTGTTTTCTTCAGACTGATAACAAGGCCTCTATGCTGAAGAAAACACTTATACAGCTCATTGAACATGGAAAAGCCAAGCAGGTGCCTTCACTTCTACACTCCAGTATCTTTAGTACAGGAAGGTACTCTGTTCTGCATGCTACCAAAAGAGAAATGTAAACACCCAGACAACCACAAACCCTTTGATCCTCAGTGTTGTTCTGCCTTCAAGATATGCTAAGAAAGGATATCAAAAGTTTGTGGAAAGTAGCCAATCAATGTCTGATTTGAATTAAGGCTAAAGCCATGAGATGTAACTCAACTCAACAAGGCTTGGTTGACCAAGAACCAGAGACTAGACAGCCCAGAGACCCAGGGTGAAACCAAATAATACTGATATAAAAGCAAAACCATGAAACATAGTGTTAAAATTATTCCTGTTGATATTCTGCTATACTCTGATTCAGGCATCACTAGAAAAGCTTCTGCCTTTATACGGGAACAAATGCAGAAACTTACAGCCAGACATTACACAGAAAGCAAAAGAGACCTTGGACCACTCAGCCCTAAATGGAATTTTTCGATCATATTTCTTCCCTCAGAGCTCAGAGAACCCACCAGAAGAGGAGACAAAACGTGTGTAAGAACCAGAGGAGATGGAGGACACCAAGCAAACAAGGCCCTCGTAATCGGCATGAGCAAAGCTCTTGTGAACTCAGAGACTAGAGCAGCATCACAAATCCTGTCCCAGGTGCTCTGCATATACATCATGTTTCACGTTTTTCTGGGCCTTTCAAGTGTGTAAATGAGTGGGTCTCTGATTTATGTGCCTTCTCTTGGGTTCTTTTCCTTCTGTTGGTTTGTCTTGTTCAAACTAATGGTCCTTGTGGCGGTTTTAATTTTTATCTCATATTTTAGTTTTTATATTTTATCATTATCTTTTAGTAACCTGTTCTTTTCTAATGAGAGACAGAAAGTGAGTGTATTCTGATGGAAAGGCAAGAACAAGCAGAACCAGGAGGAGTAGAGACATGGGGAAACTATAACTAGGTAATATCTTATGATAAATGAATCTAACTTCAATACAAAGAAAAGAGTGCCCTCTTTCTTTCCCGTGGTTTCGCTTACTTTTAGTTATCCTTGGTCAAAATATATTAAAAAGAAAATTCCAGAGTTTGCAAGTTTTGCCTTGTTTTGAGCAGAGATGATGGAATATCCTATCATCTGCTCCACTCCGTCTTTAACCTCAATTACCCCTTCGTCCACAGCATCATGAACCCACTACCTTCTGTCCACTTACTTAGCAGACATCCTGGTAGTCATAACTACTCTCCTAGCTTCATACTGCTTGAAGAGGCTGCTCATATCATCCATTTCAGGGAAAGTCTTAGGCTGTACACACTGAAAATAATAGGGAGCTATTCTACTTAGCTATGGATTCATACTCTCACAGAAAATAGTAACTCGCCCTTGACATATACCTTATCCTCAATCGTTATACGCCCTTGGATTCTGCAGCTGTACTTACATTTTTGTTTTTCTCCTGGCTGGGTTCTTCTGGAGAAAGTTCTCCAATGAGCAGTGGTTGGAGGTACAGCCGCACAGTGCTGAGATGGAGGTGCATGGCCCGGAATGCATCCTGTAAAGCAGACATGTGTGTTAGAAGCTTGCGAATGAAGTGTTTATCCTCAGATCTGCTCCTTGCTTGCCCATCCCGGGCCCACAGAGCATTTGCTTCTAATCCCACGTGGATGCTTCAAGGTGTTTCGTCATCTTTATCCTTGAGACCCTTCTAGAAGAGGATAAGGCTGGTGACCCACCCAGGGCAGGTTTTGTTTATTTAGGGACAGGCAATTCCTAGAACTTTAATTGCATCACTGCTTCTTTCCTTAAGTACTGGAAGGAAGAGCTGCTTAAGGTAATTAGCCAGGGTGAGTCTTCAAAGTCCAGTACCAAGATTTATGTGAAAGTTTCTTAAGCTGTCTAAGGCATGCAGTAAACAAGCAAATTACATTTTCTATCGAGGGCTCCCTCTTGACTCTTGACTAAGATTCAGAAGAATGAGGCCTCTTCAATTAGTTGTTTCAGACAACAGCAGATTAGATTTGATAGCAACACCTTAGAACGAAGACACAAATGATTCAGAGAGCATAGTCCTTGAGCCCTGGGCTGTCTAAAGTAATATCTTCCCAGCTGTATTCTGCATTGAAGGACTTTCATCACTCTGTAGAAACAATGTTGCTAAGTAGTAATTCCACATCACTGTGGGAAGCAGAGGAGTAACTATGTCCTAAGTATGTTTGGAAGTAAAAGAGTCCTTCCAAGTATTTTTATAGCTTTCTTCTGGGGGTGGTAAAGAAATTTTATGATAGAAATGATTAGTTTCTTGCTATTATGACATTGTGTTTACAACTGAAGAAATAAAACCCAAGTTATACCTTGAATATATGAATGGGATACAAACAGTGACTATTGCATAGTATGGATGGCAAAAAGCAGACCCTGAAACCAATCTACCTACTCCTCATTTCTGGTTTTGCTGTTTACAGGCTGTGAAACTTGGGCCTTATGCATTTTTGCCTTACATATCTTTTATAGTTTCTTCCCTAAACGATAGTAACAGTTGCCACTCAATTCTTAAGCTTGAATGAATGAATTAGGGTGTTGATCGGCATATATTAACTAACTCTATAGCACTTTTTCTGGGTAGCCCTGGCTGACCTGGCATCAAGACTCTAGACCAGACTGGCATCAAACTCACGTAGATTGACCTGTCTGTGCCTTCTGAGAGTCTGGCTTAAGGTGTGTGTCTCCACCCACTTGACTTAAATAGTAATTTTAAAAGAAGATTTATCTCATTATCAGTTATGCATATGTATATGTCTGGGTATGTGCATATGGGTGTTGTCTGGGTCCAGTGCTAGCCCAGACCATAAATTATTTCTCTCTTGACCAGGCCCCAACATAAACTATCTCTCTCTGGACCGGCGTGGAGATGCAGGAATAGATACAACTCATATGGTTTTATCAGGAGGGAGATTCCCAATGATCCCTCATGAAGTCCTGGAGAATTCCTCCTGCTTTAGCTTTATTCTCCAAATAGCCTTATATATCAAAACATAAACTAAGAGGGTAGAATCATTAGTGCTCTGTTTCCTAGGTAACCAAGTCAATGGTTTTGAGTCACATCGTATCTGCCTATCTGCTCTGTATGCTAGCTGTCACGTAGGCTTGATTAGCATCTCTATCAGGCATCCTCCAAATTACAAAGAAAGGAGCAAAACAATATCCTGACCTTTTGTTAGGTTAGCGACAGCCTGTCTGGAAGGTTATGTGACCACCTCAGGTGGGGACTATGGCTTTAGAGCCTGGCTGCCATACCATATAGAAATATGGGCCTACAGGGTGTGAGTGACTTGCAAAGGCCCCAAGTGGGTATCAGCTCTGCAGGGGCTGGAGTTAGAGGCTTGTAAGCTGATGGGTATGGATGCTAGGAACTGAGTTCTACAAATGCTACATTTACTCTTAACCAAAGACCCCTTTTTTCCAGGCAGGTGTCACTTTACAGAACTTGTTAACCATCTTTATTATATGTTCCACTAGTAGTGAGAACTCACTACCTACCTTCTCTTTAACATAGCAATTCAGGCTTTTATGACAAACTCTAACAATCACTGTGGAGTCAACTCTGATTATACAAGTGAATATATTGAATCCTACATCTCCAATGTCATAGAACTCTGCATAAGCCCACTTCTGGTGTGTATATGATGAACATGGTATCAGAAGTGTTACAGTATCAACTTTGTAGATTGACTTCACCAAAAGGTCCATAGATAGGATGCTAGAATTCTTTCAGACTTTATTCTACTGGACACACTTCTTACAAAACCTTTGAACAACAATGGGCTACAATGTTTCAAAGACGCTTTAATTTGTTTTTCCTGGAACTAGGTCTTACAGACCAGGCTGGCCTCAAACTTACTGAGATCCACATGTCTCTGCCTCCCGAGTGTTTTAAAATTTTCACCTTCTGTGAAAATACTGAAGCTTGGGTTTATTAACTAGTCAAAGAATTAGTCAGTGGATGATTAAATCATCATCTGCTATTTCTGAGTATGTTAGAATGGGAAAACATATTGGTGGGTCAGTTTTCAGAATACAGAAGAAAATACTATAATTTCAAAATATGTAGCACATATTATAAGGATGTACCCCAGCACAGTTTCAAACTGTGTTGATAACTGATTCTTCTGAGTACTGTGTTCCTTTTGAACCCCACGGGTAATCAGAAGTCCGTGATCTGGGGACAGGTACTAAGGAGCCATAGAGTTTTGTAAGAACAGTGGCTATGCTGGTTTGCAGAGCCCTTCCCATTGGATTACTGAGGAAGTACAACAAAGGAGTTCATTTAATCTTAAAACACTCAGAGCTTTGCTAACAGAATCCATATACTAAGTTGTGAAATCCTTACATAGAAGCCCACAGAAACAGGTTATGTTCCCCACATTCTTGGGCAAGTATGTTCTTGCTGAAGGACGTGGAGCAACAAGAAAGGAGAAGTAGAAGGGCCAGGATTTACAGAATGCATCCTGTGTACAAGGAGCATGCCAGTCCGTAGTTACGGACTTACTCCTGTGAGGTTTATTGCTTCTTGTTCAGGGAGACATCAGACTTTTTAGGAATATAGGATGGAACTCTTTCCTCTACATACCACATTGAGCAGCAGAGCTAGTGCTCGAATTTGGGGCTAAAAAGAGCAATGATACCCTAAATATCCACCCCAGACTTCAACATCTATAGTCCTTTTCCTGAGAGACATGTGACATTCCTGTACCTTCTGGACAGACGGCGACAGAGTCTCCCGGGTTTTAGTGTCTTGAAGTACTTTGCCTCTGATTTTATTCTGGTCCTTCAGGCTGACCCTTCACAGATCATTTTCTCTAACGGAGCCTTGCATCAAATAAGATTCTATTCCCTTTTAGAGCTCTGAATGTTTAGATTTTATACCCTTCCCTTCACTTCCTTCTTCCATTTTTCTCCACACAACGGTTTTTCCTACAATTTTATACCAATATTAGATATGGCCACCCCTTGCAGATGCAGGCAAGTTGTTCACAAGGGCCCCTGCAAGCTCATCACAGTTGGCTCATTTATAAATAAAATACATATTTATCTATTTATTCATTGTGTGTGGGCACACACATGGATGTTAGAGGACAAATTGAGGGAATCAGTTCCTTCCTTGTACCATGTGGTTCATCACAGGGATCAAACTCATGAGATCATAACTGGCAGCATCTGCTTTACCTATGAAGCAGTCTAACTGACTGCACAGCTTTCCCTTACGTTGTAATGAAACTGTATACTGCTGTTTCCTTAGTGAGTTTTTGAAACTGAGACTGTGTACTGGGCATTGATGGATGCAGACCTAAAATCTACCACGTCGTGAACACACCCCGGCTGAGTAAGGGAAAGATGAGAAGCAGGTAGGCAGAACGGTTCTGCCTGAGGAGTCGGGATGACTGAGGCATGAATAATAGGCTGCTCCCATTTTCCCTATACCACTTTTTACTCCCTTTTCAACCATCACTCTGCTCTTCAAGTTCACCATAAATTGCATAATATTGCAGCTCATCTCGGAACTGATTAGTTCCAAAAATCATATCAACAAGATGTGAATATTGAACATGATTTTATGTTTCCAAGTACTCTGAAAGATGTTGATCTATGGCTACTCTTTCCTGAGGGCTGATTGCTTACTGCTTTATTAGAAAAGTAACAAAATTCCCCCATGGAAAGAGAACAGTAAAATCAGAAAGCCTCAGACAAAATTCTGATTTTTTTTTTTTAGTTTAAATACTGATGTATAGATTGTGACCTGCACAAAGCCACAAGGTGAAATGGGAAAGTGACTTGAAATATACCAAGGACTCCATTTGCTTAACCTGTTGTCCAGGGAACTGCAACTACCCAGAGACAGCCTGCCTCCTAAAACCCCTAACATGGAGGGCAGCAGAGGAGTGGGCATCTTCATGTTCGGCACTTAATTTTAACTAATCATTTTGTCATTAGTAGTGTTTTGTTGCTGTTGTGTGTGTGTGCGCACGCACTCACATGTGCATGATGGCACATATGTGAAGGCTATGGCACAACTTTTGCAAGTCCATGCTTTCTCCCTGCAGGATCAGACTTGGTGGCTAGTGCCTTTGCTGACCTGGCCCTTCCTACTCAAGCCCCAGTCTTTATGTACACACAAATAACCTACTCCTCCCGTGTGCTCATTATTTCATTGTTTACTCAGGTGTTATGCAATCTACACAGGACCTAACCTAGTGTCTCTGAGCTTATTCTTTGCAATTAGATATCGATAAACTACTACTATTATTATTATTACTTACATAGTGTCAGAACTCAAACTTGGAACAAATGGCCAAGACCTGTTTGATAAGGTCTGAAATTTCCCAAAAGTTGTGGATTAAGAGACAAATATAAACTCATAAAACACCAGCAGAGAGAGTTTCAATGTCACAAAACAAGGCACTTGGGAAGTGGAGGCATGAGCTTATTGTTGGTTACCTGGTGAGTTTCAGACAGCCTCGGATACTGAGATCCTTAAAAAAGAAAACAAATCTCAAG